AAATATTCTGTTTTTATTTGTATATTAATAAGATTAATATATTTTGTTACATAAAATGACTATGTTCCCTGCTTTTTTGTTGCAAAAACAGCAACACAGAGAAAAAAAGGACAGACACACATCTATCTTGCTATCCTTATGAGGACTTCACACACACAGCGCTCACAGCTTCTCTGCCTCATTCTGCTGCTCCCGTTTTTAACACCATGCAAAAAATGCATTTAAAACAGCTGACGTTAACTTTAGGTCACAGTTTGAAATGCTCCAGCATTTTTAAAAAGAAAAACAACACGGACACGCTGATTACAGTGCGGGGCGAAAGTGAAAGTAAAACATGGTGCTACGGACACGCTGATTACAGTGCGGGGCGAAAGTGAAAGTAAAACATGGTGCTGAGCACCCGTTCGGTAAAGAAACTTAAACACAGCTGCTCTTTCTCCCCTCATATTCTGACAGAGGGTAGAAACAGTTCAATTAGACAGTTAAAACACATTTACAGTTCATAACTCACCCTTGTTGTTGTAACATTCATCCTGTGTTGTCCACAAGCACTTTCCACCCTGTTGTGGGTCCATTTCCTTGAAAAATGAAACTTAACCAGGCACTTTGAAGAAGCTCTGCTCTGACGCTGGTAGTCTATGTAGATAATGTTGTGGGTTTACACACCCAGAACCGAACATTTTGACTTCATATTCGGCATGACGCTATGGACTACAAAATCACACAGCGAGGAAAAAAAATGGCGGACTATGAAATCCAGTTGGCTGGAAATACATTACCATAAATGGTAGTTCCGAAGAAAAAAGTGTGACGAAATAAACAATGACATGAAATAAGCAACAGCAGATTTTGAACTAACTGAAAAATTTGACCCATAAAAAATATAAAAATATCTTTGCAGTAACAGAACAGAATAAATTAATGTTTTCTACACTCCTAGACACTATAATTGCACAAAAATAGTTTATAAATGCAAAAAAGGTGCATTTAGCATGATATGTCTCCTTTAATCATGGACAATATCTGACAATCGGCTCTTTTAAATGAGACCAGAGAGAAGAAGACAGAGAGGAGAAGGTAGAAATGACTCAGCCTGTAACTGAAAATATGGATGGAGGACCTCAGTTTAGCTTGTTTGTAGCACTAGCACTGAGCTAATACATATAAGGCAATATAGCATCAGTGCTAGCACAAAGGCTAACATGGTAAGCTGGGGTTCTTCTTCCATGAAGCAGCTCTGTTGTCCATTCACATTTTCAGTTGTAGACTGAGTCATTTCTACCTTCTCCTCTCTGTCAACGCTCTCTGGTTTAATTTAAAAGAGCCAGTCGTCAGATATTGTCCAAGATTAACCTTCTGGGTGGATATAGCTCACTAGCAGCCTCACACCAGGACCTAGTTGACATTTACCCAGAATGCTTTGCGTGTAAATAAAATGGCTCCGACCGTGTTAAAATATATTTTTAAAAATTTACAAAACTGAACAGGCCACAGTATTTTTACTGTCTTTATTTTACAGTTAAAATATATGTTTATCAAATAAAGTCTAATGTTACAACTACTGGTAATCAGGGATCCCTTTCACGGTGGATTGCATCAACTGTTAAGAAGGAAAAATTCACCAAGTGATATAAATCTGTGGATCTGTGTTTGATTACAAAAACCCACATTTAAATAATCTGAGCTATTCATTTTAATTTACAGTTGAATCACATCACATGCATGCGTGATGTGACAGGGTGTAAATATTAAATATTAGAAACCATAGTATCTGTTTATTTGTACCAGAAAATGCAGTATTAATAAAACTGTCTGAATCAATTTAAACTGAATTTTTTTAGTATTTTTTTTCCTGGTAAGTGTTATTAATTTACCCATTTTTCTCTGCTCCAAAACATCCCCAATGGCCCCCCACTTAAAAAAAAACTTCTTACACACTAATTACCAAAAGATGCAACTCCTAGTTATCGCTTAGAAAGCAACCACACTTTTTCAGAAAGAGCCTCTCATGGGAGCAGAGTTGTTGCTTTTTTTTCCCTTTTACTCTGCACCTCGCAGCAGAAACGTCTAGACATGGTGTTAGAAGGAAAAATAAACAAGGTTTAATAATGGCTGCATCTGCGAGCAGAAACATACATAGAAAGCATTAATTATGTCAGTTTGGAGCTTGAAACTGTCGATTTAAACCAACATTTGTTTTAAAAAATCCCTGACGTTCAACAAAAGGATGAGAGCAATTTCATTTTGTTCATCATACAGCAACGCCACAGCAATTCCACCAGGCTGAGTTTTAGATGAGAGGCTTTGATTCATCTAAATTTGCCGTGGTTTTACAGCACATGTTTAGCATGCTGCTGCCCCCCCATGCTGTTTCAACAGATCCATCTGCAGGCTCTCTAGTTATTCATAGCGCAGCTGAAGTCATTAGGAGTTCTGCTGAAAATGCTGATTATGAATTAGTTACACATATACTAATTGCATGTGCATTAGTGGCTCAGCACCCACTAGCTAACAGCAACATTTAGCGCAATTGACAAAACAAACTCCTTCCTCTTGCATGGGTAACAAGCTAACAAGCTGTTCTCTGTTTCTCTTCCTGTTCGGCTTGCAGGTGTTTCTCCCGGTCGGATCACTTGGCGCTGCACATGAAGAGGCACATCTGAGGACTCTGAGAGAGGTCAAGCAGGAGCGGTACAGAGGAGAAGTAGGACAAAAAAAGGGAAGATGGACTGTCAAGCTGAGGAAAAAACAAACGCAGATGACAGCGAGAGACGGCGTGTTGGACTTGGAAAAAAACAACCAGATTTAATCATTCAGATTTGGTTTTGTACGGAAGCACACGAGGGACGCTGACAGAAACACACATCTGCGCTGAAACATTTGGTCTGTAACACCACAGCGACGCGTCGTCGACATGTCGATAATACACATGCCCCACCCCCACCCCCACCTCATGTGGGACGTCGCATCCCATATGAGTGTCGGGCCATGTGCTTAACCATTTGCAAGCTCTTTATTTTTTTTAGCATCCTTGTGGTTTTTAGCAGCAATACCCCTTCCAAAGTACCACCCTGTTCAAGCAAAGGGCCAGCGAATGCACCAATGCCGAACTTGGCCAGTTGTACAGCCATTTTTTTTTTAGTTTATGTGTGTGTGTGTGTACAAACTGCAAATCAAGATCCCCACCTCTACGAGACAACCTAAATTTGAAGAACTGCTCAACAGTAGCCCACCCTGCCTCAGCCTTTGCAATTCACCAAAGGGTTTTTATTATCCAACGCACTGGACAAGCGATAATTCGACAGCTTGTCACCTGACCCGCCCCCCAACCCCGTCACATCCCTGCCAATTGGATCCACCCATAAATCTTTCTGTTTTGATGGCGTCGGAGTGTTAGCTTTGAAACGAGCATTGGATTGGATTTCTCAAAGACGTAGATGATGGGGAGTGTGTTGCACTGATGTTCTATGAAGATTGAGGTCATCCAGGGGGCCGGGCTGGCTTACTTTATGATCATCATCGACTGAGACGAACTAATCTACTCTGGGAACGCCAGCTGAAACTGAGAGTCTAGAGAGATGTGAGGCAGCTTTTTTACAGTCTTTTTTTTTCTTTCCTCTCTGGAATCTCAGCTGCTGCAAGTTGTCTGAAATGGTTGCACAATTGACTCTTTCCAATGTTTTTGTTTTTTTTTTTTGTAAAAAAACCCCGAAAAAACAAAAACAGGTGTCACTGTGTCACATTTTGTGACTTGTGAAAATGCTGGCTTTTACATGGGACTGTGGACAGCCACACGCACAAGTTGAAGCAGCTAAGTGGACTGTGATAGCACACCGAACACAGACGAGAACATTATGTATTTAAAGGTTTTATTGTTTCTATAAGAAGAGTCTCCTATTTGTTTGAAAAGAAACAAAAAAAAATACAATCTAAATAAAAGACGTCTTTGAAGGACTCACTGGAAATGGATGCAGCCAAAAAGAAGAAAATTTAAAAAAAGACAGATGCCTGAAATGATCTCTTTGGCCTTTTAAGAGTGATTGGCACCCAACTAGCAGCTGGACTGAGGAAGTCCCATCCGCAGCACACATTCCTGCAGAATTCTTCCAATTAAGATATTCTCGGGGTTGAGTTTAAAAAAAAGGCACTCAACAGCTCTTTGAATTTGGCCCTATGTTTATCCACATGCATATCTGCAGACTTCCTGACCATCATGTATGTCGGAATGCAGGAGAGACTCGCAGGCAGGGGCACATTCAATCAGTTGTCAGAGCAAAGTCAATGTGAATGTATCCGTTGCAAACCTGAACGTGTTTTTTGCTTGACCCATTAAAACCACTGGAGAATGGTTGGTTACGGTCATGCTAGACACCATTTCTGTTCTTTTTTTCACTCTAGAAAAGAACAACGGGAGGTGGAATCACTGGCTGGTCACAGCTGGTAGCTTTTTGACATTTTACTAGCGCCTCTTGGACCAGAATCGGTGCAGATTTCCAGTGGGTGGCTAAAATAGGTTAGGGGAGGAAGGATGTGTTCAGTCAGCAACAATAACTGCCCCATCAGCTTATGTAACTGCAGCAGAGTGAAACACCCCCCCCCCCCCCCCCACACACACACACACAATGAGACACATGCATACACTCTGTTAAAACAGGAATTAATGTTCATCCTGTGTAACCTGATTTCTGTCAGATAGAACAGTGATGACTAAAAACAGTTCTTTGATGTCTTAAATCTACTCAATATTTTCTGCAAACATAGGTCAAACAAGCAGCCTGGACATTTTTTTTAGAGAAACATCACTTACAGGGGTTAGACAATGAAACTGAAACACCTGGTTTTAGACCATAACATCCCTTTTGGACAGCTTCCTTGTAAGACCTCATTTTGTAATAACACCGCATTATGTAATAATGTAATAAAATCAGGCTTCAAAATGTAACAAACTCGCGCTAAAACCGTATTAAGTAATAATTAACACAAAATGTAATAAAAGTCTTCAACTCATTATGTAATAACGTTATTACATTTTGTGGCAATTGTTACAAAATGTGGTGGTGTAATCTGGTGCATTATGTAATAAACAATCAAAAACCAGGATTTCTGTTCATCCTAATCAATATACTTGTAATAACTGTCATGTTGCAAATACTACATAAATCTTTTAAACTTTGGTCAATAAACACAGCACTTCTCATTATTTATTTGCATTTTCAGATTTACTGTCCTGATTCCTGTTACAGAAATTATTCTACTTTGTAGACAACTACGAAAATACATCTAAAAGGTAGTTGTACATACATGTCAACCCTTTAAGATGTTTACCTGTATAATGAGCCTTAAAAACGTGTAGTTTTTATAAAAATAAACCTGTAATAATCCCATGCAGGGGGGTTGGGGGGTGCAGGCAGACTGT